TTAACCTTCAAAAGTATTCAGTTCAGTACAGTCGAAAATGGCAACAGATAAGATGCATATCCGACACTGCATTTTTTACGAATTCCAGCAAGGAAAAAATGCTACAAGAGCGTGCGAATCGATTTGCTCCTTTCTCGGCGAAGGTGTTGTATCGTACGATGTGTGCGCATTTTGGTTTAAGCGGTTTAAAAGCGGTGATTTTATTCTAATCGACAAACAACGCCCTGGAGGCCCTCGGAAGCGCGACAACGATGATTTGGAACAACTGCTCGCTGAGAATTCGGCACAAACGCAAAAAGAGCTTGCAGAACAGTTGGGAGTAACGCAGCAAACGATTTCCAAACGCCTACATGAGATGGGAAAGATCCAGAAAGCAGGAAAATGGGTTCCGCGTGAACTCACTGAAACCAACAAAAATCAACGAGTGGCAGCGTGTCTTTCTCTTCTCAATAAGCAGCGTCGGAAGTCTTTCTTGTAGAAAATCGTTACGGGCGATGAGAAATGGATACTCTATGACAATCCGAAACGCAGAAAGTCATGGGTAAATCCCGGCGAATCATCAAAATCGGTCGCAAAATCCAATCGCTTCGGAAAGAAGGTTCTTCTCTGCATTTGGTGGGATATCAAGGGCGTGCTTTATTATGAGTTGTTGGAACCGGGTGAAACAGTTACTGCGGACTGCTACCAACGTCAATTAATCTGCTTGAGTCAAGAATTGGAACGAAAACGCCCGTACACTGGCAAAGGAGAACGTCCAGTGAAATTGTTGCATGACAATGCCAGGCCATACATTGCTTCCAATACAAAAGACACCATAATGAGTCTTGGCTGGGACGTCTTGCAGCACCCGGCGTATTCACCAGATATTGCTCCATCCGATTACCACTTGTTCCGGTCGATGCAACACGCCTTGTCCGATATGCACTTCCAAACAGTGGATGAGATCCGAAAATGGCTTGACGACTTTATCGTATCCAAAGACGTAACATTTTTCCGAGATGGAATTCATCAGTTGCCTGAAAGATGGCTTAAAGTTATAGAAAGCAACGGCGAATACTTTGATTGAACAATTTCATTTACTTTCTTTTAAAATAAACCCTGAATGTAGCTGAAAAAATTGGATTATTCATTTGTACACCTAATATATATATATACATATACTAAAATAATTAAATATATGTTGAAAATGCTGCGTAGCCAGTAATATAATTTTTACCGAAAGCACGAAAAATACAAATTGCAGATTTGCCTTGCTCCGTAGTTGAAATCTTCGGCGCTGCTTAGAAAGTCAATTTGCATTTTCTTTGTCGCGCTCTACGTTGCAAATTGTTTGCTTACAGGATCGAGCGAGGAACGTTTCTGAAAGATTCACATCCACGACCACGTTGACGGTGAATATACGGGACGATGACGATCAGGATCCGTCCTTTATTTATCAAGGCTGCATGCTCTTGGATGGCGCCTGCATCAATCCGGAGTACTCCGCGTCGGTACGTATCGTATCATTATCGTGTCGATTATGAAACAATTGCCGATCCAATTCGAGGGGGTATTAACAGCGAGCGGATTATTTCAGCGCGGGCGTCTCCCCGCCGTCCCGTTTAAATTTATAGTGCGGAAAAATTCAAGCGTAATCGAATACGCGCGCCTAATCGGCCGCCGATATCTCACTGCTCAAATTCACGTAGCCAATAAATCGGTGCAACCGGTTCTGCAAGTGCGATTCTCTTTTTCTCCCCGTCAGGTATCGAGCGGAGTATTATCCGGCATACTCAACATCTCGCCCGAGAAAATACAGGCGGTCGACATGGACAGTATAAACGCACCGATTCACTACTCCTTTCTCAGCGGAAATCCGCCGAATTACCGGGATTTCTTCGAGATTAATCCCAACACCGGGGCGGTGAGGCAGGTCAAAGCCGTCGACACGACGGTAACGAAGAAGTTTGATATTATTATTAAGGTAAGTGTTAATATTATATTCCTATGTCGAGAGATGCTTATCCACACAGCAAGATGATAACAGAAAGATTTGCCGTTGTTCTAATATACAGGTGTTATGTAATACCCGCCTCACCTCTTATTTACGAATAGAGCGGACTAGACTGAGTCGAAAGGTCCCGCACCATTTTGCAATTTTCGTAATAGATGAGTTATTAATTATTAAAAATCGCTGTCTTAGCTCGGCCTATCGCCTAATTCAAACGCGCGGCGACATGCTCTCTAAAAATCAATCAGTGGCTATTCACTGTTTCCAGTGATGATAACACAGGTCTACAAAAAATGGGATCATGATTGTTGTTGGGCAGCTGGGGGTCGTTTCCCAAGTAATTTTCTGCGTAGAATTCGAATCCGAGGTCAGAATTGGCCCATCACGTCAGGATTTTGAGATATTTGAGGTTATATACTCGAAAAATGGCTTTTTGGGCTACTTTTGAGGTTATGTACAGGACGCACCAAATTTTTTAGCTCTTTTCTTTTAATTGCATCATTTAGTACTACTCTTTCCCTTCAAAATGAGCTGTCGAATGGTCATCTACGATTTTTCCTTGCAAAGTTACGGCCATTTTAAGATTTAAGATAACATGATGAATTCCAAACCCTGCGCCGTTATAGCTCAACAACCTCATGAGCATTCACATTAAACCTGTAAACTTTGAACTATAAACCCGAAAACCTGGACTGCAAACTGTATATATGGGTTTTTGGAGTCGCTGATTACGAATCTGATCTCAGATCGACCCCAAACCTATTATATTACTAAATCCACAACTATAGAGGTTGTTGGGCTATAACAGCGCAGGGTTTGGAATTCATCATGTTATCTTAAAATGGCCGTAACTTTGCAAGGAAAAATCGTAGATGACCATTCGACAGCTCATTTTGAAGGGAAAGAGTAGAACTAATGATGCAATTAAAAGAAAAGAGCTAAACAATTTTGTGCGTCCTGTACATAACCTCAAAAGTAGCCCAAAAAGCCATTTTTCGAGTATGTAACCTCAAATATCTCAAAATCCTGACGTGATGGGCCAATTCTGACCTCGGATTCGGATTCTACGCAGAAAATTACTTGGGAAACGACCTCCAGCTGCCCAACAACAAAACCTTGTAGACCTGTGTAATTCACTAATTGATTTTTAAAGAGTGCGGCCGTCCCGCGATCGGCGCTGCTTTTTAAACTTCACTAATATATTTTACTAGTAATTATACTTGGTGTACATTTTACTAGTCAAATGTATGAAAAGTTTTTAAAAACTCTTAAAAACTAAAATTGTTCAAATGCTTGTCCTACGATTATATGATTTTCGGGGTAAATTTTAAGAGCAAATTTTCTCCGCGCACGTTTGGATAAAAATTGGAACGTAAATCGAACGTAAGGGAAGAGTGACACAAGCGTGAACGAAATGTGTAGGAAGCGTAATTTGGAACAGCGAAGCGTAAAAGAAACCTCAAACGCTTCTTTTACACTTCGCTGTTTCAAATTACATTTCCTATGCATTTCGTTTACGCTTCTGTCACTCTCCCCTTACATTCGATTTACGCTCCAAATTCTAGTTTCATCAGGGGAGGAAATAGTTCATCACGCGAAAGGTTTGTTCCAAAATTTGGGAGAATGTAAGGTAATAGTCGGACGTTTTCTTCTTTCTCTTCTTAGGCAGTCGAAGTGTCGGAAGCGAAGAGATCGGCCACTGCTAAGTTAACAATCACCGTCAAGCCGGTCGACAGCAATCCACCCGTTATAACGGCGTCAAACATCGAAGGTTTCGTCGACGAGAACGCTCCGATCGGCACAAAAGTCATCGATGGAAGCGGAAATCCCATTGTGCTCACCGTGTCGGATGCTGATCTGGTGAGTCTGATTCCGTAAATTCTATTGGTTTCTGGCGTTTAACGAAGCGCGACCGAGGTGCAAATCGGTCATTTAATCTGCTCTATCGTCAGCGGATAAGACCTTCGTCGCGCTGATGAAACTTGAAGTTACTTTCCTCTTTCTTCTTTTGCTAAAAAAAAAATATTGTACATATTCTCGTCTGTATCCAGGGCCCGGACGATCCGAAACCGACGTACACTTTCGAGCTGACCACGAATTTCTTCGCGATCGATCCGTCCGGCGTGCTTGTCGTGAACGAGGAGAATCTGGATCGGGATCCTCCGAGTCCCGGCCGCTTCCGGTTCCAGGTGGTTGCCCGGGAGAAAACGGGTGTGGCCGCGTCGTCGCCCCTGTCGTTTGTCGTGACGTTGAACGACGTCAACGACAATGCGCCTCTGCTTCCGATGATGGCACCCATCACCGTTCAAGCGGGGGAGACGAAGAGACAAATAGCAAAGGTGAGCTTCTTTAATCGATTAACAATCTCGCACGTACGATAATCATTGCAGACAATTGAAGTTTTCTTTCTGGCACTCTCTTTGGTGCTTGCCACAGTTGCCGTTGATTATTGCCCGCGTCGATGTAACTCCTTCTCGCGTCTTTAAGCGCGAGACTCCTGGAGAGAAATTGAATTTTGGATCTCGTACAGGTGGAGGCCACGGACAACGACGAGGGCGAAAACGCCGAGATAACGTACAGTATCTATCACGTGTCGAACAACGGCCTGCAAAAGTTCAAGATAGATCCGAAGACCGGAGTTATCGAGTCCGTGAGGAAACTGAACGCCGGCGAACAGTACAGCATCACCGTGCAGGCCACCGACAAGGGTGGCAAGTACTCGCAGACGATCGTCGAGGTGAACGTCATTCCTGGGCCCAACACCAGAAGCCCCGTGTTCAAGCAACCGGTGTACGAGGTGCAAGTCAGCGAGGGGGCCTCCATCAATTCCACAGTCGCGACTATCACTGTGAGTATCCTCGATATGATGTCCGTCTCGTTGGCGTTTTATTTTCAACTCCAACTGCTCTGACAGAAGCACAGTATTCGCTCGATATGCACTTTGTTGTTTTCTCTCTCTCTCTCTCTTTCTCGTTCGTTCCTCTATCGCGTTGATGAAGCATCCCATCTACGCTTTCCTATTTATACCAGATAGTTTTTTTAATGTATATAGTTTTTCAAACTTTACATATGAAACAGTTTCCGCAATTAATTGTTATTCACTAGAATGTCCATTTTCCTCTTCGGATTGTATTAATTGTATACAGATGGAATTTTCTATTAAAATTTATCCTGAAATTCATGTAATCGTGGGACAACATGGCATTTCGAAGAAGTTTATGACAGTTTTATAAATTTTACCACACGTTTTACAAGTAATTATACTAAAATGTATGGTAAAATTTATAAAACTGTCATAAACTTCTTCGAAATGCCATGTTGTCCCACGATTACATGATTTTCAGAATAAATTAAAAAAATTCTCTCCGTGTATAAATGTAATATAATGTAATATGCAATTGACTTTTTTGAAGTTTTGCCGTACATTTTACTAGTAAAACATATGGCAAAGTTTCAGAAAACTCTCGTAAAGTTTTTGAAATGCCATGTTGTCCCACGATTTTCAGGATACATTTTAAAATAAATTCTCTCTGTGTATTCGAACCGAATTGTATCTCTCTTTTTGAAAGTGTCGCAACCGTAGATAGCTTTGTCAATCAACGTTACAAGCCATTGACGCAGAAAACGGTTCGGTGTCGTAACAATTTTATGGGAGTTTTTGCAATTTTGCTATATACTTTACTAGTAAATATATTGTACTTAGTATACAGTTTACTAGGAAAATGTACGGTAAAGTTTAAAAAACTCTCATAAAGTTCATCAAAAAGCCATGTTGTCCAACGATTACGAGATTTTTAGGATAAATTTTAAAGGAAAATTCTCTCCCTGTACAAATATAACGTAATATGCGATCAACTTTTTTGAAACTTTACTAGTAAAATGTATGGTAAAGTTTCAAAAAACTCTCATAAAATTCTTTGAAAAGCCATGGTGTCCCAAGATTACATGATTTTTCAGGATAAATTTTAAAAGAAAATTCTCTCCGTGTATAAATATAATATAATATGCAATCAACTTTTTGAAGCTTTGCCATACATTTTACTATTAAACCGTAAGGTTTCGGAAAACTCTCATAAGTTGTTGAAATGCCATGTTGTCCCATGATTACACGATTTTCAGGATACATTTTCAATAAAACTTCTATCCGCATTCGATCCGAATTGTATCTCTCATTTTGAAAGTGTCGTAACTGTAATATAGCTTTATCTATCAATGTTACAGGCCATCGACCCAGAAAACGATCCGGTGTCGTACTCGATAGTATCGGGGAATGACTTGCGCCAGTTTGCGATCGGCGACAAATCAGGCGTTATTACCGTTATAAGGAAGTTGGATAGGGAGGATCTGACCCGATATCAGTTGGTAAGCCGATATCGTCAAACACCGTAGCGCGAACTTCCTACACCCTCTACTACAAGCCAATGCACTTCTCGCTTTACGCCACTTTCTACCGACAGCTTTTATCTAATCTAAGGAAACATCGGCGTTCTGCTCTTCCTTCGCCTGTAAACGAGTAGCTGCGCGAAATCGAAACACAACAACGTGTTAACTTTCAGCGCGTGCACGATCCGTTTATATACTTTGGATAAAAATCTAGAAATTCGTGCTTCAAGTGTTTAACTTTTCCCAAATCCAATTTCTTAGAGTTCTCGCGAAAGAACATTACACCGAAGTCTTATCGATCGACTCAGGTATTTCTACTCGCCACAGTGCACACTTCACGTTCGGCTAAATTGGAATAAATTAAAGCGGAATGTAATGCCATGATTGTTGGTCTGTGATAGCTGATAAAGGCCGAGGATACCGGCGGCCTCTACAGCACCGCGACGGTCAACATCATGGTCACCGACATCAACGACAAGAATCCCGAATTCGTGGGTCTCCCTTACGAGTTCACCGTTAAGGAGGGCGAGGCGCGCAAATTAATCGGCCGCGTGCATGCCGAAGACGCGGACGAAGGTATAAACGCCGAGATCACTTACTTCGCACCCGATGATATTCCCTTCACCGTGGACCCCGAGACCGGAGATGTCCTGACGAAAATAGTGCTAGACTACGAGCAGAAAAACGTGAGTAATCTCTTTTATAGCGAACTCGATTGTTCGCACTAGTGCGTGCTGAGGCTTATTTACAGTCAATTCTTGTATTTAAGGATCGCCTTAAATATCTTTTTTTTTAAACATCTATTCTAGCACCTACTTTTTGGGAAAATTAAAGATTGCGCTGACTAAGGAATAAGAAAATAGGATGTGACAATGATCCTTTGCGTAATTTTTCGCGCTGAATTCAAGTCCGTTTTTTATATTTGCCTCATCACGTCGAGTTTTCGAGATATTCTAACTTTAAAGTGCAAAAAATGCTGTTTTCGACGATCTATAGTATCGTCAGAAACAGCATTTTTTGCACTTTAAAGTTAGAATATCTCGAAAACTCGACGTGATGTGAGGCAAATATAAAAAACGGACTTGAATTCAGCGCGAAAAATTACGCAAAGGATCATTGTCACATCCTAATCAACTCGCGACACCCCTAATTTTGCAGGCCTGTGTTATAACCAAGTGCACTCAGTGCACACTAGTGCGAGCAACCGAATTTGCTGTTAGTTTTTAATGTAAAAATATCGAGAGTAATAAACTTGTATTATTTTTAATAACGTCAATTTGGAAGTGCGCGCAAGTAATTTGGATACCTTTTCAATTTGTTCGCGCGAGAAAACAATTTCGGGATACACGAAGCTAGAGAATTGTCCGAAATAATTGGAGAACTTTCAACGGTTAATGAGTTTTTCGTTCGAACTCGCGAAAAGCTGTATCAAATAATGCATAAGAGCTTATTCCCGACTTAATTTTGGACTTTCCGGAAAAGCTCTTCCGTCTCACGAAAGTTATAAAGTGCGATTACAGCTCTCGAGAATCCTTACAACGAAGCGATTTAGTTTATACTCGGATTGCGAGTTGTCACAGTTAAATAACAATTGTACTGTTGTGCGCGCCTGAGACAAGAAGAATGGGCAAGCCGTACGTTTGATCGTGTGTTCAAAGTCGCACGATTTTTATTCGCGGAAACGCAACGTGTAGAAAAGTCCGATAACAATTCCACGTAACAATGTAACGTGATCGAGACTTCAACTAGTCATACGGTGGTCATTAAAATCATGTTGAGAATACGTTTTTTTGTTCTCCCTCTACGGTTCTCAACCATCCTTTCAGTTATTTGACGCACAGCTAAAATCTTTCATTTTTCTTCCAACACTTTTTTCCTCTGGAGTTAAATCATAAAAATCGACAGGCCTTCAGTCCAATTCTACACCGGTTGAACATAATAAAATACAACATTTGCACGTAAATTGCGTAGGAATACAAATTCGTAGTCACCGCGAGGGATGGAGCCCCCGATTATCGTTTAGCGACCGCAACAGTCACGGTGAAAGTCATCGACGTCGAGGACGAGGTTCCAGTCTTTCACCAAAGCAGTTACGAGGCACGTGTCAAGGAAAACGTGCCCGACTATAATGTAATTAAAGTCACGGTGAGTCGCAAAACCACGAGTGTCAAACCGTGGCAATACTATTCGCAATAGCGCCTTTTCTCAATTGGAAAACGTGCAGAGCGCGATGGGAATACGATTAAAAGTGATTAGCCTGTCTATTCGTATCGGTTCCGGCAGATTAATTTATCGAGGATCGGGAATCTTGCGCGGCGGCGCTGATCGTTTCTAATGTGTGTCCCAACGCGAGAGACATTCGCGTTAAGATAAAGCGTCCCCAGTTCCTCGCATAACAGTCGAGTGTGAAATTAGTGAAGCATATTCGAAGTGAAGCATAATAAGGTGAGATGTAATTTCATCGAGGACGAGGCTCGCTCGGAGGAGTTTCGAAAGTTCATCGGATAATCGAGACGTACCTACACTCGTCCCGACTCGGCAGACATTCGCGTTACTCGCGTCGCCGACGATTCCCATCCCCGCCGGCCAAGCGGGGAGGATAGTGCGTACTGGCTCGTTTTACCCGGGTTTCCAAGCTAACGCGATCATTTCTAGGCCGATGATCCGGACACAAAGAAGCAAATTACGTACACGATCAAGCAAGGGGATACCGAACTCTTCAGCATAGACCCGAAGACTGGACTGATAAAAACTATCCGCGGTCTTGATTACGAGAGCCAGGCCCAGCATGTACTTATCGTAGGCACCGAGGAGAACACCAGCAATTCAACTGGCTCCATCACCCGCGTTGTTATCAACGTCCAGGTACTGTTTACAAGTCAAGTTTGACCCGCTCGTCACGGTAGTTGTCAATATCTGTCATCGATTTGCTATTATCGGCGCATCGCGTACACTGAGAGACCCATTTTGTTGAATGAAACCAAATTTAGTTGATTCAACTGAACTTCTTGTTTGGATACGGGCAAACAAATCTTTCAGTGGAAACAACAGAATCTAGTTGGCAAATTTGATTATATCAACACACAAATTTGGTTGAGTGAACATGCGCAGAATCCTTTAATAATATTCTACTGAACGATTTAGTTGACGCAACAAACACAGTTATTTAGGACGTGACGAGATGGACGAATTTGTTATCTCAACCATAAAATTTTGTTCAAATAAAAAACTCATGGAAACAAAATAGTTAGTTGTTGTAACATTTAACTTCTTTCCAGCAACACATTTTTCGTTTCACACAACCAAATTACGTGTTCAGTCAACAAAATGATTCAATCAAATTATTTCGTTTTATTAAAAGAAATGGGTCTCTCAGTGTCGCGCGCACGAATATGCCAATTTTAGAATATCACATCTCACAGACGGCTTAAACTGCCGTCGCGAGCTTTCATTTGTCACATTTCGCGCGAGAAGTAATTACGGGAAGACACGTAGTTTTAATAAAACAAACTTTTTTTCTAATTAATGATCGGAAAGATCTTATATAATCAAATAAAAGATAATCGAATAAATCGTGTGTATACATCCGACACAGCTGCGCGGTCCTTCCGGCTTAATTAATGCATGGAAAATGTTAAAACGTGAATTGATCGCCTGTCGCAGAGTCTCAGGAATTAATCCGCGGAATCGATTAAACGGAACCGGTTCGCGTTGTACGGATTAATATCATAATCAACGGTTACCCTATCATTTAACGTGCCTCGACTACTTTTAATTTAACTGTATCTTATCACTCGGCGCATTAATAACATTGAAAATGCATCGTGGCAGGACGTGAACGACATTCCGCCGGTATTTACGTCGGTGCCGCGTCCGATCACGCTGGACGACGATGTCCCCATAGGGACGACCGTGATCCATCTCGTCGCCGCAGACTCCGACGGCACCGCGCCGGGGAATCAGGTAGGTGTATCCCACCCTGCGCGTCTTCACGTCCTCTTTGTTGACTCGCCCAAGCGGGAGATTGTCACCGAGCTCGATGCCCCGTAGGTTCGATACGAGATCATCGGCCGCGGTATCGCCGGCAAGTACTTCGTAATCGACCCCGACACCGGCGTTCTCCGAATACGAGACGACTTGCGCAAGGAGACCGACTCCGAGTATCAGGTATTCGATCCTCCGCGCATAACCCGACGCTCGCGAGATCCGTCTCATCCACGCGGGCGATTCCCTCTTTTTTTCTCAGGTCGACGTGCGTGCATACGATATGGGCGAGCCGCAATTGTCGTCCGTGACGACCGTGCCGGTCTACGTGCGTCACGTGGCGACGGTGCCGCCGGAGATCGGTCTGGGTTTCGCGGAGAACTCGTACAACGTCGAGGTGCCCGAGGACGCGGTGGACAACACGCTAATAAAGATAATCACCATCATCAACAGCCACGCATACGACACCACGCCGCTCAGGTGCGAGATTTACAGCGGCAACGAGGAGGGCCTGTTCGAAACGAGCGTCACGGAGGAGCGCAATTGCGCCCTGAGGTTGAGAAAGGGAGCGCTGGATTATGAGACAACGGAGTCTTACCAGATTAAGATCAAGCTGGAGTCGCTCTCGGGCCTCCTGAATTCCGGCAGAAACACGACGATGGTAAGACGCCAGGCGGATCCTGAGCTTGCCGCCCTTGAAACGCCAATTCTTACACGGAGGGAATTTTCTCGTAAAATTTCTCCTACAAGTCATCGTGGGACAACATGGCACTTTGAAAAACTCTAGAAATTCTCCAAAATGCCAAATCGTCCCACGATTACATGATTTTCAGGATAAATTACGAGAAAATTCTCGCTGTGTACAATCCGAATGTGTCGGCGAAAAAATGTTAAAACGCGTGGCTATTTTTCCTACTGGATTGCTCACGCGAACCAATAAGGATGCAGAGTCTTAGATCAGGTGACTTTAAGACCAAATCCTGATTGGCTCTCGTAAGCGAATCCAGTAGGAAAAATCATCTTTGTGCAATAAGAGCTTCTATTCAGATACTTTTACGCGGAATTGTTAGGTACAAAGTATGTAAATCCTAATACAACGTTTTTTATCTGTCGCGTTTTTAAAAAATTGAATTCTTGCAAAAGGAAGCTCAATTTCGCTGCACCTCGCTGCAAATTAATTATCGATTCTCATTTGTCTCTGGTAAGAATGTGAAAACGCGTTTGGCCGCAGGTGAAGATTCAGGTGCTGGACGTGAACGACAACAAGCCCGAGTTTATCTTCCCGGAGGCGAGTCAGCAGCTCACGAGGGGACGTTATTTCGCGGCGATTCCGCGCACCGCGCAATTCGCGTCCACCGTCGTGCAGGTGAAGGCGCACGACAAGGACAACGGCAAGTACGGCAAGCTGGAGTACAGGATCCTCGAAGGGCGAGGCTCCGGTTACTTCGCCATCGACAGCTCCACCGGCATAATCCGGACAACGGCGACGTTCGACCACGTGGACGCGTCCGAGCTCCCCTTCAAGTTTGACGTTCGCGTGCGCGACAACCCAAATTCGACCGACAACTACAATTCGATTGTCGCGTCGGTGATCGTCAATCTTATCGGTGAGGAGAACCTGATGATCCTGGTGGTGCAGGACGCGGCGCCGGACGCGCTGCAGAAGGAGGCTGGCAGAATAGCGAGCGCGATCGAGCAGAGGAGCGACCTGCTGATCGGCATCGATAGAGTCGCGGTGAGGAAGATCCTCACGAAGAACGGCACCGTCGAGACGTTCCCGCACGACTCCGACGTGTGGTTCTACGCGGTCGACCCGGACACCGAGGCTATATTGAGCAGAAACAGCACGAAGGTGCAAAGGTACGTTTTACGGAGAGAATCGCTAGCGGAAAAAATTGACTTGGAATAGAAATTTGTGGCAATTTTTATATCTTCGTTGAAACACTAATGTTTTTTGTAAAAATATCTACGAGATAGTATCACAAATTACAATGTTCTCAAATCAAGAAATCATTGCAAGTGGTATTTCATGAAAATGTACAATTTTGTAAAAATTAGTACAAAACTTTACTAGTTTAAAAAATTTGAGAAACAAGAAAATCTTAGAGAATTAAAACGTCTGCTTGTAGAATATTACAAAAATTAACAAAAGTGTTCCAATTCTAGCATTTTTCTTGATTTTTATAACACTTAAATTTACGTAGAATTTCTCAGGTTCCGGCAGTTGTATTTAATATGTTTTTGTAGAATTTTGTAGAATTATTTCCGGCAGGGATGTGCGCGCGTTAAGAAAACAAATTAAGAAATGTCTGGAAATTCTGGAAATGTAGTCTTTTTGACAATTAATCTCTAAAATCCCGTTCGGATTTATATGTTAGCGGGAAGATTACGTTGGAAATCTGAGTTCTTAGTGCAACGTCACTTTAATTCCTCCGCTGTGGTATTACATGTATATGGTAAAGCCACAATTGTCTCACATTCATTTAGAGAACGGTGTTACGTAATTACTGCTGTCCACGTTGCAACATGCTTTTAGGTACTTTCGTAAATGGAGAGAATACTGAAGTATGTTAAGGGAATGCTGGATTCTGCGCACTTTTCGCACCTTTTGCTCCTGGAACTGTCAATTCGCGGAAACACTTGTGTGATATATAAATTATGTGGCTTTCGTGTACAGAGATAGACAGTGTTTCCTTAAAAAAAAATCTATTCACTCGAATAAGGCAACCTATAACTTATTCAAGTAAATAGATTTTTTGTTAGGCTTCTAAACTTAATTTCAATGATACCACGCTGTTCTCTGATTTAGTCTGATTAGTGGAACACTGTCGGTCTGTACGCATAAGTTTTATAATCTATGTATTGTACAAATGTTTTCACGAATTGAGAGTTCTAGGTGTAAAAGATACAGAACCACTCCAGCATCCCCTTAGGCCCGGTTTCACCAACGTCGCTTAACTTTAAACTTATTGTTAGTTTAATTTGTTCTTTGTCTCTTCTCAACTGTTACCTTAGAAGGAGCCAAAGAACGAATTAAGCTAAGCTTAAAGTTAAACAACGTTGGTGAAACCGGGCCTTAAACATCTAAATAAATCGTTTTTTATGACATTTTTTGAATACAGCGGCTACATTTTAAAAAATGCTAAAAATCTCTCGGTAAGTTTTGTGATATTTTTAAATAGAACGCAAGTTTTCTAATCAATCTGAAATCAATGTGAAACCAGTTCCAGTCGCAAAGCCTATCCGTGCTTAATAATGAAAGACACGTTTCCCACGCCAGAACCGAAAAGTCAATTGGGACGTTCGTTTGCACATTTGACCGTGAGCAAATATTAAAGGAGCCAAATGCTCGACAGGTCCATCATGGATAAATCGGCCATGTCAAATATCACCTTTGACGTATCTACGTTGGTGCGGGCAAATGCCATCGACATTCATGCACCCGTGATGCCACCCGAGCCGGTGCGAACGCAAACGGCAGTCGCGTTCAGCGGCGAGGTCTTCCCGTACGCGCTTATCATCATCGCTTGCGTGATCCTGATCCTCGGTATCGCCGGTATCATCTACATATGTGTCTCCTGGTCCAAGTAAGTGCTAGGTTTCGTGTATACGCTTTTAGCCGAAAGCTCGTAATGTTGAGTCTCGTCAAATAAATCGACAAACACGTTTATAAAAATATAATTATGAGAACACTAGGGCACAAGGCACAATGCGATTACGACTTATCATAAAACTGATTAAAATAATAAATAAATATATTGAGTTTCTATGTGCGAAATTCATTACGGATGAAAATATGCTTGTACATAATTAAATGTAATATAAAGTTTTACAAAAATTAAGAAAAATTTGTATTAGGACGGACATGCAAACTCAAAGTAGCAGATAATTGTTGCACTTTTTGCACGCTGTTTCAATAAAAACGCGATTCGAACCGGGGACCAGTTGTTATTGCGGTCTTAGCGTTATTACGATCGCATGGGAATGTTGTTTCATGAGTGTGAATATTCATTTGACTCATCAAGTGCGTGTTATGCAAATTTATACCGCTCTTTATTACCTCCATTAGCTTCAATTGCGCTTTCCGCTTTGGATACCTTTGCAAACACTTATTGCATCGACGTTGCGTGGTAAAACAGTCCTTCCGGTGTGTTTATATTTCCGCGATAAAAAATTTAAAGCCCCCCGGGAGATTCTCATCGTAAAAGTTACACTTATTACACAGGTATAAGGCATACAAGGAACGTATGCAGCGCATGTACGTGGTGCCGCGATACGATCCCGTCTACGTGGAGCCCAATTTAAAGGAGTACGAGACGCAGGTGCTCCAGATGAGCGTGCCGGTCGACGACAATGACAGCTGCAACGATTTACAATTGGACTTCAGTAACAAGAATCACGCGTTTAGCTTGGACAACGTCAGTTACATCACCAAGGACCATGGGGACAGTACTGGTAATTCGAAGCAAACGATACAATGCGGTTGCATAACGCAACAGTTAAATTTATCAAGGAGTCCGTACATGGAGAGAATTTTCTTTTAAAATTTATCCTGAAAACCGTGTAATCGTGGGATAACACGGCATTTTGAAGAATTTTTTGAGAATTTTTCGAAATTTTATCATACATTTCGGAGAATTTTATGAGAGTTTTCTGAAATTTTACGATACATTTCGAAGAAGTTTATGGGAATTTTCTGAAATTTCACCATACATTTTGAAGAATTTTATGAGTTTTCTGAAATTTTACTATACGTTTTACTAGTAAAATGTATGGCAAAACTTCAAAACACTCATAAAGTTCTCCAAAATGCCACGTTGTCCCGCGATCACATGATTTTCAGAATAAGAGAAAATTCTCTCCGTGTAGAAAATAATTACAGAATTTGAGCCTATCACAGTTAACAGAATAATATTAGAAGAAGAATGTGACACTAAAGACGTATCTATTTCTATAATCTGACAACCATTGATTTTCCTTAAATAAAAATTATTTTATCCAGCAGATTAGCGGTACATTAATTTTTTTTTGTATCATTTATGTCGACCTGAAGTATACAGCGTGTTCGTGTGCTCTGTTTTAAGGCCAACAAAGTCCCGTTAGTTCCGAGGCGGCGACCACGGCGCGAGCGTCCAGCATCGTTGGTAATCACGGCGACACCAACATCCACTCCCTGCGACGATCCACGCTGGGCCGTAAGAATCATAGCGTGAGCAACACGAACACCCTGAACAATCGCGACGCGACACCGGTACTTAATCCCTTGTACAATCACGGCGGTGATCTGCTCAGCCCTAGTCCGTCCAACGACAACGTCACCTTCAGGGAGAGGAAAGATTACTCGCATCTCGGGTTCACGTATCTGGGCGAGCAGAGTCCCGTGGAGACCACGACGGAGTTGTAAGTTTCATCACCCGAGAGACGGCGAGAGTGCGAACGCTGGTCCCTTTAAAGACTGTCACCGATTGATTATACATATCCGCGAGGAGGGAAGGTCGAGATGTAAACCTACACTGTAAAGAAAGTTACGTGTAAAATTACAATTATCATAGTAGGTAACATTGGGATTATCTATTAAACGTGTATATTTACATACGTCAGTAAATGTATGTACTTTGTATATAAAATTATTACCTTGCACAATAAGTAAGCTTCTTGCTTTTAATTGTGTACATTTTACAATTTTTTTGTGATTTCTCATCATGTATAAACAAGTATTTACACAACAAAGAGTAGCAAAAAATTTTTTTGTAAGAGTACA